AATCACAATGTCCGACCAAAGTCCGTAAGTTATAAAAATAGTTCAGCAAAACAAGGAGGTTTCAGTTCATCTGGTCAAGGGGAATAAATATGGGGGTTGGCTGTCACTTGGGGTTGGAAACGGGAGCACACTGTTAGCAAGCTGTTTTCTGCAGTTTAGACCTCTTTATTCAACAGTTTGAAAGATGAACCAAGCATTCCATCCCGACAGCTACCTTTTAAAGCGTTGGTAATGAAGGGACCGCATATGGACAAGGTAAGGTGTTAAGCGTGAAAAAGCCAACTAGAAGAAAGAGCAGTGGCTGGGAATAACCCTATAACTGGCCGAGTGACGAAGCTGTTTGGTGAGTACCGAGGCAGATTTTCGTAGTTTTGTACACAATGTAAAATGTGCACACGCAATCCATGAATATTAGGCCGGTGGGTAAATCAAGCTCAGCGTGAACAAATATCGACAGATTGTTGTGGCAGAATGGAAGCACTGCGTTATCATTTGTGCTCACCTTCGTACAAAAGGAATAGATACTCAGGCGGTACCAGAGTGCATCACAAGTGCGCGAAGGTTGTGAAATCCAACGTGTCGATTTGCGGCCATTTTGAAGTTTCAAGCAGAGCTAGCTAATTTTGCAGTTAAATTTGGGCTGCGCTCTTGCGAGCAAGGAGCGAATGAACAGTTTCGCTGAATCGTTTACAGTTTTGGATAACAGTAGCACGCAAAATTATGACAAAACTTCATAAGTTCAGAGAGTGCGCGGCAAACCGTCGATTTGGTAGATTAGGAAGGAGCACCCGGAACGATTCATTATAGCTTCCTCCACCAGCTTGTGCAGCACAACACAAAGAAGCACAGAAGTGGTAGCCAGAAGCCACTCCTGTATTTGAGCTAGATTATTGCCTAACCACAGGACCCAGATGGCCAATTGGTTGACTGGAGTAAATGTGAGAAATATAAGAACAAAGTCTGTATTCATGGGCATATTCTGACAACGCTGGAGTTATGTGGATTTTTCTGTTCCGAATGTAACTTCCACTGAAAGTTTAGTAAAAAATTAGCTGGTATGGCACTCAGCACCCAAGGAACTGATCGCCAGCTCTCCGGATCACGGCGCACGGTTACAGTGATAGCCGCAGAAAAGTTTCCTTCTCATTCAGGGGCGAGATGTGGAATGCCACAAATGCCAATCACTCTTGGTGGCAGACACGTTTCTGACTAGTTTGTTATTGACACTTTATGAAAATAAAAGGGGGCTCTGAGGTTATCTATCATTGTGCGCGTTTTTCATGAGTTGGTTGTGAAGTGAGAACGGCCGACATACTTGCAGGCTTATTCGGTTTTGCTGACCACGCCAGGGGTTTGAAGAATAATGTGATAGAATGTGACGGTGTGGTTTTGTAAACAACACCATGTCACCGTGAGCTTAAAACGTCTGCAGCGGCGGAATTAGTGCGGTCAGAAAACATAATCTGCTTAACTTTTGACGTATTATTTCATGTTCAAAAGTGCAGGTTGAGGAATACCTTTTAGGTGGAAGTTAACTGGGTAATCAGGTATTGCCACAAATGATCCAGATCTTCGTGCACATCCATAGCTGCGGTACATCGAGGAGTGGAATGGCTGGGACCCAGAGTTAGGATTTTGACTTGTGCATATTGGGACGCAGAGGAATATAAACTGGTATTCGAAGTAACAATGGTTCCCAAATGCCTCGGTAAACCGGCCAACATTTTTCCTGCATGGTTGCAGCCCATTCAGGGAGAACGATCCAGTATCTATTTGGTAGCGTAGCTAAACAAGAACGCAAATACAAGCCTCCTGCAGTATACATAACCTAGCGTTGAGATAGAAAGACGCCCGTGGTATTAATATTATTGCAAATATTGGAAAAACAGGATTTACCCAAATAAGCTTTTTTCCGCTTCCGAACACCAGAATAGGTAGGCTTCTGGCCAATTCCTTGGCGGTTACACTACAAGCATACCGTTGAACGCATCGGTGGATTGGGTCACCTACCTTTGTCCCTCGTAGTAAAAGCACCTCCCGAAAATGAGCCGGCAGAGTTGCGGCATCTCGCTCGGAATGACAATAACACTCATGTACATAGTCTTGAGTACGGGCAAAAGACTGTTGCGCGTCTGAATTAAGAAAGCACTTATGGTGGTCTCGTTTTGCTGTTTGGTGTGTTAAAGAAGTGGAGCCAGTGTTGCGACATAAGCTCACACGTTTTCCAGAAATCCAACACGGCGCAAAATAACCTGGCAGATATACAGTGGCTGTGGTGATGTGCATGCCCCAGCTGTTCCACCGCGCACAACGCGAACGGGTTTTCCTCACTTCCCTCATTGCGACCAGGTTGGTGGCAATTTGAACCGCAGTAGTCCTTAGAATAATTTGTAGACCATTGTGCTCTTAGCGGCAAGTGACAGCGCGTTATAAATGCCGCATTGTTTTGGGCCAAAATTTTCTATAGTGGACTGCAGCTAACTTAAACACCGGCTACGGACGGCGATGCAGGTGACATTAGACGGTCGGTCGCTAATTTGTGGTCGCTAATTTCTGGGTCCGGAACTTTCTCAACCTACCTGCACAGTGGCGTGCCCTTTACTTTTAGACGAACCACCCGGTGGCTTCACTTCATGCAGTAAAGGACGTATGATGAATCACCGCGCTTTTTTCAACCCTTCTCATTGAGATCTGTGGGCACCCTACGGGGCTTACCTCAGATTGCCAAATGAATGCACTAACCATTCGGGTTGCCAGGGCCTGTGGTTCTTATTGAGCATACCCAGTTTATTCAGTTTAGGAAACTTACTGTGAAACTCATTGCCCAACGCCCAGAAGTTAACGGAAGTTGTACACCATTCTCACATGCATTTTATGTGAACCAAAGCCTCTGAACGACGAGACCGAACAAGGCCGGGAGAGCTCCAGCAAACTTCTCAACTTCACTCATCAGCCGATAAATCCTCCAGTAATTACAGAGGATAGATATAATTTTCAAACCATGTTTGGCACTTCGGCTTCATGTACCATCACCATCGACAGCATAGCATCAGTTTGTAACACCAATGTCACTCTGATAAATAACACGCTCATTCGCAAGTACATTTTGTCTCATCAGTAAGCTCAAACGGATTCAAAGCGGCGGAACCTATGAGGACCGTTTGTCTTCCGCCCTATTTTACTGATTCCATAAATGAGAAAATAAGCCGGGTTGATGTCAAAATCTCGCGTTGCAACTGGGTAAGTGCAAAAATATGTTCTTTCTCCAAACGTTCAAAACTTACTTCCAATTAAAACAGGTTTTGCGGAGGCGCGGGGCCTGCACTGACCTGAGTGACCCTCAAAAGAGCATATGATGACATGTGTCGAAACTGCATCAACACACCCATAGGTGCAGTGGCGTTGACGCCCTCCGGAGATCGGCGAAACGGCTATGTCTACTGAGCAAAACGCGCGTGTCCCTGTCGCCAAAGCGCATCTACATTCTCGGAGCCTCCGAGGAGGACTCCGGCTTCATCCGCCTTAATGAAACATGCCGGGCATATGATGAACATCTAAATACGTTTTTAGTGAAATCTTGAATCCCTCGAGAGATAAGGATAAAACATGACTCGGCAGACACAAAATATATCCTTTCAGAAGATGGTTGTCTGGGCTTAAACAGGAGGCTGCAGACGATCTTTTGTTTGGTCGCCAGTTGGATGGTAAACAATCCATCGAAATTTTGCAGACTTGAAACTTGGACACTCCACACAATGTTGGACCGGATACTCAGAGTGCTGTTTGTTTTCGTTAGGGTATGCGTCGGGTGGCTCAACCCTTTCACAGTTTTCCCTCTGCTTCGGCGATGCGTCCACCTGGAGCCTAAAAGGCTGGTTGCATGCATAGGCGCCGCATACTGACCCCTCATCCTGAGGGGACAGCTTCTCAAGGCCGGGTGATTGTAGAAAGACCACTGAAATTCCCTGCATGTCGAAGAAAATAAACGAGCCGAGGCTAAGCACACTTCCACAAAACTGTGACGAATTATATGGCTTATTCTTTTGCACCGAGGCGCTGCCAGTTGCCACATAAATAGGCGTGTTATTCTGTAGTGATCGGCACCTATTAACAAAAATGTATATACATGTAGGGCCAAATGTGATGGTTCCATAGTTTTCGAAGCTTAAATTTGTCTATTATCCGCAGAAACCGCGAGGCATCCTTGGGGCGAACAGTATTCGCTGGACTAAAGAGGGAAGCTAATTGAGTTCAGAATACCAGCACAAAACTTAGAGCCCCGTCTAGGCATCCCGGGAGGCATTGACACTAGAAAAGTATTCTTCCAGAATTTTTCTACCAGAAGTGTGGTTGCTTCAGTGGAAGATGAAATTCGGTGAGCTGAAAAAGTATAAAAATAGATTATGGTGGTTTTTGATACGATCGCCTGCGCAACGAAATGCAAAGTGGCGTGAACGTTGTTGAATCTAATTTGACCTTATGATTATTCCGACATTCACTTGCTTACGCCACCTATATACTTTTGATATCGAACTGTTTTGCTTATCGTTATCCGCCACTCCTGTCCTGTCTGATACTTGTGTATTGATGTGTGTCTGTGTGAATATGCGCCGCTGACCCAATTACCCATGCTCGTTCATGTCCAATTTGTTGAGCCTGCCTTTAATCGTGTTCTCATGAGTTCCGTGTGATCGCATGTCCATTGAGAATCACGCGGCTGTCGTCGGAACAGGCGACCGAAACCCACGCTACCGAGCCATCATTCCGCTCGACGGTTTTTGGTATGCCGAATTTGACACCGCACTCTACCAGTCAGTGACAGAAGTGGGAACTTGTGACGCCACGATCGTTAACCATTGAGGTTTGTTGTACACAGTTCCTTGCCCTTATGTAAATAGTACCGTATAATTACGAACCAAGCTCTTCCTTTCGATATTCGGAACCGTCGAAGCTACGCAACTCGCAATTTTTTGCAGCGTGTCCAGCGAGCCGCCACGAGAATGGTTGCCGGGCTCAAATCCGTGGACTACGAAACCCGTCTCGCGACGCTGGATTCCATTTTCCCTGGAGTAACGTCGCCTCCGAGGGGACCTAATTCTTACTTATGCCTGTTTGAACAAAGCTTGGTAAGCAGGTTTTTTACCGTTGACCCAGCAAACACCAGGCGGGGACATAGTAAGAAAATTTTCAGGCCAAGAGCACACACATTCATTAGACAGAATTTTTTCTCATTTCGGGTTGTAGGTGCGTGGGATGACCTTCCTCCAATGGTTGTTCACGCTCCTTCTAGAACCCAGCTTAAAGCACTATTAGACATTTATTTATGCGAATCCTCGCGCTGGCGAGCATACCGCCCCGCGCTGAGAACATAGAGAGCAGTGCTACACTCTTTTTTCAATTGTACCTTTCAGGTGGAGACAGCCACTGACCAAAAAGAAGAAAAGCGACCCGAGAAACTCGGGCAATAGCCCCGATACTATGTATCAATCCGTGAATAAGCTAAGAGCATTGTGCGGTAAAGTGACCCCACCATGGGCATGTTGTTTGCGGTAGAGGTCGAAAGTGCCAGAGAGTTTCGCAGCCAGAAATATCAGGGTGGATTAAAACAGAGTAATAAAGAACTGCATTGGCTAAGAAAGAAGTGCCCTGCAAACCATAGAGTTTTGAACTTATTGTTTTAATTCGTCAACGACAAGCGGCTTGTGTACAGAATATCTGGCACGCCGACGAAATGCTCACTCCGGATGATGTGGATGGCACTAGTAATGTTGAGTAAATGTTAGTAACTGTACCTCGTACAATGTTGTGTGGTGTTATTTGATGCTCATGTACTCATCTCCACAGACTGGAGGTGAAATATGGTAAAGCCTTGAAAGGTTCTGATTTTTAATCCAACGAATTTGGCTGTCTAAATAACCGTCCGTCTTGGTCACCGCTCTCCGAGTCGCACCAAGTAGAACTGATATCAACATTGCTCCTGCGGTGGTGTTTTCTTGCTTAATCGTGCGGGAAGTTTCATTGAGTTCCACTGTTCCATGCATGATTCATCAAATTCGGCTGATGCTATTACCACAACCTCGTAGGCAATTTCTTGTTAGTTCGTCACACGCAAATCGGACCTGCACGATAAATTACCTCATTTTCGACTGTACAGTCGCCGAATGGTGCGGTAGGTATCACTGATTTGTGTGAATAACACTCTCATCACATGCATGTGGAGACCGTGTAAGTCGGCGGGAATCACATTAAAAAAACGTTACACCTTACACAGAGGCGGAGAGCGACTGGAACAAACACTTAAAGACGCCGTCGCAGAGCATATAAACCAAATTAACGTTCTCTTCATTGTTAAAAGCCTACGGAGCCTTTCATGAACTCCTCACAGGTAAAAAAAATGACGAGCCAAAAAATTGTGGTAATAGTGATATTCATCAAATCCATACTTCCGTTCTTCCATTGGGTGTAATGGTGTTTGGGTCGGATGGTGTTTTGAAAACGAGCATTGCACAAAAACTTCGGTCGAGCCCGCCAAACTGTTCTTTAGAGTGCCCAACCCATCTGTCCAGCCGGCCTTTTCTGCAAGTGAATTACTGCACTCGTTGTTTTACTGAATGTCGTTTTTCCCTGCACAGTCGACCGTAATAAGTGGTATGGGACACAACTGTTTCTGATGATCGAATCCTTCTCCATTTCGTGAGATTTCATTGTTCACCAGCGTTCTCAGCCCTTCCCTAGGTTCTTCATTAAAGGGGCTTCGTGTGCTAGCGTACTCGTTGCGTGCTGGTATGGGTTTCCTGGCACCTATCGCAACTGGAGATCTCTACATAACCCAACAATCAGTTGATAATATCTGCGAGGTCCGACAGACAGCTCTGTACACTGCCTGTGTAATTCCACTCACATTTCCATCCACGGTAGCCGTGTGGATTTTATTTCCTGAAAACCTTAGTTGGGCTAGCTCATATCGATACTGCTGAGCAATGTTAGCCATTCAGAGGTGGTCGGTTGTTATGCTTCTTGCGACGTCCCGAAGGAAGGTGAGCTGTTAGGCGTACTTGCAATATGGTGTTGGCATCATGTGTGCTCCAAAGGAGACTGAATTCTTGCATTGTGGCCCTTTACCAATGTCTGATAGCCAGGTTATTCACCTGGGTCCACAGTTGATTTGAGCTTGGTTGCCTCTCAGTTACGCGATGCAAAGTTTACGCTGAAAGTTCGTACTGGCCAGATCGATGGTCGTTCAGCTGTAGCACCCTTTCGGCGCCTAGATACCATGCCACCTGAAGGAAGCACGATGGCTGGGATACTGCCAGGTTGCCCGAGCCCAGACAGGGAAAGTCGAGATTCAGAGATCGGGCTCGAAGTACGAACCTTCCGGTTAGGAAATTTGGGCTCTAACAGCTGGGTCATCTCGTCCGGAATCAGCCCACAACTGGATGGGTCGCCTTCTTTTGTCTCTGCGGCGAGCGTCGACTCCGAATCGACCGGCCAGCTTTGATTCTAAGGAATTCGGACGATCTACTTGGATATTCATGTTGCTCGAAAGAATCACAGCATTAACGCTTTCTAACCAGCAAATGAGTCCCGATATCTCTCGACAGAAAGTACCTTTCTCAGCATCATAACTGTAGTCCGTTGAGGTATACGCTAACATTACAAACAGGTACAGTTTTTATGTCGACGGGAATTCAGCTTGATTGAGCTAGATTACTGAATGGCGCAAAGACGACTGTCCACTGGAATCCAATCCAGCTATTGGCGCTGGGGCTGGCTGCAACTCCCACGCCATATATTCTACGAGCCATCACTTCTGGGTCACCAGACATGAAGAGAGGAAGGTGAGTGAACTGAGTTAGTCAGTGGCACTCTAAGATGCGTGAGCACGCTTGGATGTTTTGTGCCTGTTTCAAATACACAGTGTAAGTCAGTTTTAAGAATTATAAGGTTTGAGCAGGTATTGCCTGTTTGTTAGTTTTACATCGGGGTGGGGGCGAGATGGCTCAGTGGTTAGAACACGAATTTACTGACCGGTTCGAACCCGATCTCTGCCTCTCGACTTCTCTTGTCTAAGCCTAGGCATCCTGGCAATATCCCAGCCCTCGTGCTTTTTCCGGGTGGCATGGCAGCTAGGCTCCGAAAGGGTGTTACAGACGAACGATTTTTTAGATCTTACATCGAGTAGGGACGTAAAAAGCTTCCATGAAGAAAGTCTCCCATGAATTCAGCGTTGTCACTTCTTTGTTAACACAGCTGGGCGGTTAAGGCATGTCGTTCAGATAACCGCAATCGAATGATTCAGAAACCTGTATCCGGGCCAAGAAAGGGGATCCAAGCCAGGCACTCCACATTGAGCTCTTAATTTATGTCTGACTCTCGAAGTAATAGGAGAGGTTTGGATTGTACCTCGGAGGCCTGTTCCAGCCTCTTGCCAAAAATGTTGACCTGCAAGGTAGCCGGAAAGGGGGTTTAACTTGGACACCCTTCTGGGAGCCGACGACTCAGTAGTTTGATTTACTAGGCTGAAAGAGGCTGGCATTAGCGTAAGCAGAGGCATATGGAATAGGGCGTGGTTGTCCTGCTCGTGATACCGGCACGCCAAGTAGATGGGCTTGGAATCGCATCGATTTCACTGCAAGGTTGAGTTGGTTTTCGAGCTTACTGGATAACTCGCCGGTACCCATGATCAACTGTTGGGCGATCGGAATGTGGAGTCTTCTCTAAACCATCCAAGCTCCAAGGAAGACAGCATCGCTGATTCTATGAATGTCGACGTACTGGCCACCTGGGGGGATCGCCTCATTGTCTTCACACTCCCATATCAGATGACAGCATAACTTGACTCCTGGACATCATATTATGATTACTCATATCGCAGGATCTCGCAGCTCTAGGTCTGATTACTCCTTCTTTGGCCTTCCCATGAAACGAAGTTTCAGGTAGTATAGCCTTCACGATCATTGAAGAACCCAAGCTCAAACACCACGTCAAGTTGGCAGCTTCAGGTCAAAGACCTGTGAAGGAAGAGGTTATGTTCAAATTCACTGAGTGTTGAGCGTGAATATTCAAGGGCAACCAATGTTGTCGTTCAGCCTCGCAGGAGAAAATACTATGCGGTTGTAACCGCAGGCAACACAGCAGGTGAGAAGAGCAGACCGGTTTGGCCCATTCAACCGGGTAGGTCCTGCGACCCGTTCAAGGGAAACCGAGGAGATGGAAAATTTAAGTATTCCACCAATGCTAAGTAAACAATGGGCGAACAAATTGTTTTTGAGCTTTGTTCTTTGGTCAATACATAAGGAATGGTTATATAGTCAAAAAAGCAAAAAAAGAGTAGTGAAGTTAGCAAATGAGCTCCAGTTCTACCAACACAGTGGACGTGTAGCCTGGACAACCGACTAGTCGGTCAACTAAAGGTTGTCTGTTAAGACGAGGCAATGTCTGTGTGGCTAATTGATGTGTTGGATGATATGGGGCGTGGTACTGAGGTAAGCTGAGGCTCAGATAAGGCGTATTGATGGAACGGGGCTGCATTGTCCGGGTGTATTTTAGCGGCTCCGGCCCTTCCCAAGCAACGATGTCGATAGTTTGTACAGAACACGGTACACCTCGGTAGAATTGAAATAACCTGTCAACTAAGTGCAAGACGGTAGTATTTCTCACTGACTTCGTGATTCCGTTGGTAAGGCTAAAGTGATTGAGCGATATCATGTGACCAGTTGAATTGTTAGAAGAGTTCGGTCCGACGATTTGGGACTTAGCAGAGAGGAGCGGGCCGCATTTACCATTGTTTCGCTCCTCAGAGGTCCTTTTCGAACTGTTGCTAGAATTTCCAGTTTCTTGCCTGAACCTCTTCCGGTTAATGGACCCATCAAGCTTTTTCAACTGACGTCTGACAGTTCGTTGAGTTGTCTTTTCCGGGAGGATTGTGTGTCTGATCTTCGAAAAATTCGTATTTTTGCTCGATGTTCCTTGCGTAGGTCTATTTGATTGCACCGTTCCACAAGCAAAGCACTTACTATTCCACAGGGTCGCGGATAGTACTTTCCAGTAGGAGTAGACATCGGAAGGTGGACTGTCGGGAGACTTAAGTAGGTGGTTTCGGTAAACTTGTTTCGAATCAGGGTCCGTGACCTTAATGGCCAGGTGAGGTGTAGGCATCCGAAAAGCGCAACAAGAAGCATCAACAAACAAGTGTGTGATCAGACTTTGCATTGCTGTTCCAGAGTGTGCGACATTCAGTTACGCATTTAGTAACGCATCCACGACACCTATAGATAACGGCGATGTAGCCCATCTTAGCTGGTGCATATGTGGGGAAACAGTACGTGGCCAACCGGTTTCGGTTGTTTCGGAAATTAGCAGAAACAGTATATGGTCAACATATAACTACAGTGAGCACTAGCCGTTGTCCGCGTATTTTGATTCCAGTCCATCCACTTGAGCCCCTGCTGCGATACTTCTAACTATTTGCGAAATCGTAACATTTGCAACCATAACAGTATCGTAGATAATAGTCCGCTACACTGAGGCACACGACGCATCTCGAAAACTGTCTTCGATAGTACCAGAGTTGCAGTATATTGGAACATGTGCACATGCAATGGACAGACAACGAGTATCGGCGCGTCTACGGAATAATGTCATATGACTTGCAAAATAGGTCGCACAGCGGCGAATAACAACGGGGAAGTGCTCAAGCAAGGACCCTTCAGCTCGGCAGTTTAAATCAATGTCAGCTGGAGGAGTTTCTGGATAACCAGATATGAACCACCGGAAGAGAGAGGAAACCAAAGGTGTTGAATCCTCGTTCCAAAGACAGCATACATCAATAGAAAGCGAGTCAAACGTACATGCAAAAGCAGTCTTTTGTCCGGCTTGTTTCGGAGCGATATCCTCAAAGACCATCAAGTAAACTGAGTGCCGGGGTTTAGACAATTACTGGGGGTGTCAACGGCTGTGACAGCCGATTCAACATACAGTCGCACTACACATAGGTTCGGTCTCTTCTTGACGGTAACTACATACTGTAAAAATCAGCTTTCCAGAATTCCGTGACAAGCCGTCACGTATGCATTGAGACGTACTGAGGTAATGAGGCGAGCACTGAAACGTCTCCAAAATGCTAATGTTCAACTATTTCAGAGGGAAACTCTTGTCCACCTGGGATGTGCGAACGATGTTCCCTTTTGCGAAAAAGTGCAGGAGGGGCAAACATTAGTAGGGAAGCCGACATCCAGTCCACTGGGATGTGCTTCGCGCTCACGAAGTGCAAAGCCATGCTGCGGGATGGAGTATTTGAACATGCTTCTAAGGATCCAAGGAGTTAAACTGAAAGTAGTGGAAGACTATCTGTATCCTGGTATTTGCGTCAGCCCTGACGGTCACCCTGAAGTTAGGGCACGAATTTCAAAGGCCCCAATTGCTTTTGCCTGTAATTATCAACCCAGTGTACGAGGGGAAATACAACACTACCTGTACATCGTCTTGTGTGCTCGTAGCTGCCCACCAGTGAAATTTTTCGTTTTAACCAGCAAGGCGCGGGGTAATCCTCAGCATTCATGTAGCGCATCGATTGACGCTGGCGGTGGTAAATTGGCCTGAGAACCGGAGTTCCACCTCAGACTGCCGTAATTAAGGTCACAGGCCATTGAGCAACCTAGCCGCTCAACCACTGTAAGCAGATGAACAACAAGCTACGAGTCGAAATATGGGCCTGTGTCTTAAAACCGTTGACATAGAAATTTCACAGTAACTACGCTGTTTTGACAACGTCTCGTTGTGTATGTGTGGCACTGTTAAGCTAATACGATAATTTGCACAATTTATTCACTGACAAATATTCTTCTGTTTTCTTCGCAGAGTAAAAATATCGAAGCCAAACGCCTTTACCACTAAGGATGAATACTCACCTAGCGCGTATGCAATATGAACAGCAAAGGCAAGCTGGTGAGATGCGCCGAAACGGCAGCCAGTCCTCATTCAAATCGGGAGATCCACAACGCCCGGCGTCTGTCTCATCCGCACGTGTGCAAGAACCAACTGGTTCCATACTCTCAGGTTCCTACATTTCGAACTCCCGCTCCCATCTCGGGGGCGCCGCAGCTGCAGTCGCCAGGACCTATGAAAACGTGCCAGGCAGTTCGAGGCTTCTTGGATTCGCCAGACCGGCATCTTCGACCGGTTTAAATGCACAATTCCAACGCGCTGGTAGCATGGCCAGCTATCCTCCGTCTACGGTGCTCGGAAAGTCTACCTTAGGGGGACAGTCATTATACGGGATGAGTCAGCTGAGACTCTCACGCAGTTTGAAGGCTTCAAAAGTAAGTGAAATTTTAACAACCTATTACTCATTCAGTTTCTCCAAAATATCATTCTAACTTACGAATAGCTGGTGGAGGTTTTTAGTCTAAAAGCCGTTTATATGATTCTATGACCTGGTGATTAGTTGCCCTATTCAGAGACATCATTTAAGTGCACTTACTTCATGTGCAAAATCTTCAGGAGCTGTTACGGTGCCGTCAATTAGTTCACGAGGGGCGGACAGAACCAATGGAAGTTCGTGACTTCCGACACGAGGACGGAGATTAGTTCTATTTGCCGAACACCAGGACCACCATGAGGTTCATTTTGAGGCACCGTCCGGGAAGTGCTTGCATAAACCAAAACTTTCCGCAACGATTTTATCGTCTTCTCGGATCGAGTCCGCGTATTAGTTTTCCTGTTTAATCCTAGAAGCCAGAGCCCAGCAGACAAAAGAGATAAAAGGTTTCACAATACAGGTTTTCCTACTTATGGCATTTTCCTCACAGACGCCCCGAAGATCAGTTTACTATGCTTCCATTTTGCAGAGTCCAATTAAATCAGTGGGGCTCATGAACGTTTTCCAACAACACCGAGAGTGTACAAATTGAATCAGAAGTTACGCATAATGAAATCCATACGGTTTTTCAAAGGAGAAACTCAGGCCAATAATAAAACCAAGAAAATTTCGCATTACCAGCCAATCCTTTTCGCAGAGCTCCCCAGGCCGAACACACTTGATGAAGTCGTGCTCATGTACACCACAGATCGCATTCAAATGGTCAGAATTTTTTCCGAATATACTTACATGAGTCCTCTCCATACTTTAGTTCCTGTACTGGTCTCGCTTCATGTCTCAGTGGAACGATTCAATAAATTCAGTACATCCACCAGTATGACTTAGCGTTTGAATGCATACTTAGTTTACATTTTTCATACACGAACCAAGGACTTTACGAAATCCTGACAGATATCACCTCCATCGTGTTCGTTTAGGCTTCCCTGGCTACCTACAAGAGTGGTCGGACGACAATCCAAGCTGAACATCATGACCGGAAGGTTCAACGTGAAATAAACTCCATCAAGTTTGGAAGGGCCCGAAAACTGTACTGGATTGCTGTTGCCTGTTATATAATGTTTCTGCTAGTGCTTTTTCTGGGGCTGTTGATCACTTGTCTACGACATATCTACATGAACATTATCCTATCCATGGATGTTGGAGAGATGACTGGTCCACTATTGATAGCCGGTTCCTTCCTGTTCTTCGGCCTGGGGATGAAATTCTATTACGACGCTTATAAGCTTGGTTGTGAGGAAAGGAGGCGCGTTAAGGTAATGTTTTTCTAAATTTGATCGCTTTCTAACCACCATTTTATGAAAAACTTACATATTCCGGTAAATATGGCCAAACCATGATGGACTTACTTAACTTCTGACCTGTTTAGCACAACCAGTTGAACGACTGGGGACAAGTACGTGCTCGGTCACTAAGCGGTATAAAGAAAAAATATTGCGGGGTTTGCAGGTTCGTGGCGAAACAGATGTCATGTTTTTGGCTGAACTCGAAGCAGGGGTTTAACTGGACACTCCTTGTTAGCCTCACTCTGCTCTTCGCTTGGCGACGTCTATACACCTCTCCAGACAGACGCACCGCTCCCAGGGTATTGTATCCCTTTGTGTCCCAAGAGACTATCTTGGGTGTGAATAAGACAGTTCATGTAACGCCATACATGTTCGTTTACAACGCGCCAAAGCCGTAGGTGGCATGAGCGATCAGGTAGGCACGCCTAGAACTAATTAAGCTCGATTGGACGGTTGTCTTAGAATCGAGGTTCACAGACATTGGAGAGCCTCTGATGAGGTGCTGGTGACAAACTGTTTACTTGCAGTTCCAACAAAAAAACTAACCCCATACCCGATCAGACAGCACTGTCATCAGCTGCTAATGGCAAGAATCGAACACTGACTGTCGCTATTTTCCGATTACCAGTGTGAACTCCGACCGTGCACTTTTCTCTTTCAGTTTGGATGTTGTTGCTAGTATAGTCCACCTTGCAGGACAGGGTCCCAGTGATCCTGCTTGTGTTTGGCTGAAGACGCTACTGGATGTGTTGGTTAATCAATGTCAATGACGTTCAGGATTCCAGCCTCCGGGATACGTGGAGTGTTTGCATCTAGGAATGCCTGTCATGGGCTATCCCTCTCTCGTCCCCTCATCCACTTTAGAGCTTTAAATACGAACAGCTAAACTTTTGCTTGTGTGGTAGTGGACCACCAGTGTGGAAACTTATTTCATAACAATGCTAGTGATGGCAAAACACAAGTTTGCGTCCTGTTTAAGATCTTTGATGATTTTTGTAGTACTCGTGACTCGAGTAGCGCTGGAGTCAGTAAACAGTTTTTTATGTACGCGCACTCGGTAGCTAGGCGACGGTACACTGAAGCAAATTGCATCTGCTTCTCATTGTTTGGCATTCTTTGCAACTAGTTCGCAAACGGATTAGAAAGTAAACGCGCTACCAATATTTCACTAAATTGTATCCAGTTCAAATTCACCTCCCACTGTCGCCGAGTTAAAAGTTTAAGTACGTGGGTATACAACGGTTTCCAACTTGATACCATATCCCAGCTCCCACGGTCCATGGAAGCTGATTTTCGAGTTATACATTTCGTTTATCCGACTATGTTTACCATGCTCACAGAGGGCAAGTGCGATTAAGCCAGATGGCGCCACTCTGTTCTTCCTAGACACAAGATGGAACGGCGGATGACAGTGAGAGGTGATATTTGAACGGACCAGTTTCAGTCGAAACTGTTTTGTCCTTATGTAAAAGGTCTCGTAGGATTAACTACCAAGTTGTTGAACATGAGAAAACCAATGCGGTATGTTCAGAACAGCGTGATCAGGCTTACGACTGAGTTCCGTGGGATCTGGTGAAAATTTCGTAAAATGTTCTTGCACAGCTCTATTTTTGCCCCTTGCTTCCATAAAACAACTGATACTTGTTATTGTGGGCCTTCTTCGAATTAGTAATTACGGTATTCACCCTTCTTACTCTCGTCGTTACTTGAAAACACTAGTTTCGAAGCCCTGTACGCCAGGCCACCTACAGTCGCGGGCACCACCCTATTATTTTTCATAATCCTCGTGTTCTTTTTACCTTTCAGTACAAGGCCGCTAGTCCATCTACGGTGGCTGTCACAACCGTTACCGAACGCGCTGCAGACACCGAGTAAGTCACATGACAATCATGACAAACTGCTTTGTCATGTTTCTACGCTGATCTAACGTTGGTTTCTTTCATTAGCCCTATATGAACCACTCAGTTGCCATAAATGTGGACAGAGTATCGAGTAAATGAATGT